AACAAAAATCTTGGTTACTTTCGGGAGTGCAGTCTTAGTTTCATAGCTGTGATTCATCCGTTTTTCCGACAACCTCCTTTGAAATAAGGTCTGAGTACGGCATATACAGTCAACTCTCGCTATACTTTCAGCCAATATTTTTCGCCGGGGATTCAGTATTTYTTGTCGGTGATATCGAGGTGTCCGTACGGCGAGAGGTGACTGTATACTCTATAAACGGTCAACCAGTCAATGAGATCGCGAATTAAATCTAAARATGTTATGATCAAGTTAATTATTTCCAGCTACATTTAAACTTAATGTTTATCAACTTTTTTKWAATWACCGACTACCGACAAATGCCTAGAATTTTAACTGATCATGACTAGCGACAAATGCTTGAAATTTTAACTGACTACCGACATTGAGACGACCCCCCCCAATTAAGACCCTGAAAATGGGGTGCATGCAGTGTGTTTATTTTGGTTTGGCATGAAGTCAATCTACTGCTACATTTGACAAGAAAAACGCCGAATATATAAGTCTCATACATATTCCGCAGCATCGAAGAATATAAGAGCTGTACAGCTACGAGTTTTGGAGTAATCTCGAGTCCAGAGGCAATCTCGAGCCCAGAGTCTTCACGGCTAATGTCAGCGGTATGCTGACGCCGGAAAGACTCTGGAGGAATCGACTGGATTTGCGACGCTTTTCCGTCGCAAATTATGCAAATTAGGTCAGTTTTGTTTTTGCCGCTTTAGAGCATCAAAATGACAAAAAAGAAGAAGGTTTAGCACACAACTTAGTNGAAAACCATGAATAAAGTCAAACTAAATACTAACAAATAGCGGCTATTTAGAGAAAATTTGTCAGTATCAATAAACCAGAACACAATGAAGATGAATCCACATGGGACCATTTTTCATTCATCTTTATTGCTTTCTGATTCATTGATACTGATTTAATTGTCTCTAAATAGCCGCTATATGTTAGTATTTAGTTTGATTTTATTTCATGGTATTCCTGCGTTTGCTCTATTTTCTTGTGATTCTCCTTTCACTGTTTTTATCCAAACAGTGCAGTTTACATTTTTGATTACAACTTTCAATTCCATTTCTTTTTTTATCAATCTTAAGGCCATTGGAAAAGTTGGCAAGATTGCCAAAATTGACGAAGATGCTGATGTCCACGTAGACTTTGGTATGATGAGGTGGGCATTTCATCCTGAAGCGATAGTGAAGGTATCACATGACTACTTGTGCTATGAATAATTATCGCTATTGTATTGCACTTAGACCTGTCCACGTGTACACTAGCTATTTTKTCTTGCAGCTCGGAAAAAGATTGTTTTAGTGATTTTATTGCTGGTACAAATAGTCCACAATGTTCGATGTTGTGATGGCTGTTCAGACCTACAATTTTGTGGTTGTGCATATTGATATAATGTTTCATATAACCGGCTGTATGCACCTATTTCAAAAAACGTCGTCGGGGAGAATAGCCTCTCTCACAGGCATTTTTAGTCTGCGACAGAATWTTCGTAACGAGACTAAGAACGCCTTTGAGAGAGGCTACGAGGAGAAAGGCAAACGGTAATTGTCAAGGGGAGGATGCATGGCTGAAAGGAACTATTGTTACACGGTTTTGAAAAGTAAAATGTCACTTTTTGGATTCACCTTGCATAGAAATGGAGACTAAATGGAGCCAAACTATCTTACAGTATAAATCAGTTATTTTTAACCGATTAGCAAAACCCATAGCTACGTTCGGTCGTGCAATCGCCGTTCGACAATTGACATTCGGCATTTTATCCGAAAAGCTTTCTTGAAATAGGTATACATCGTAAGTACTAAGAGAGAAATGTTAAAATGAGAATACGCGAGTTTGCATGATGGCGTCATATGCTGCAAGAATGCTCTGTCCACTTTTCTTTGTAAAGTAAGTATTCGCACTTGTTTTACTAATTTTAAAATTTGAATAAAAAAGAAAATGCGCAAGTCTTTCTTGTAGTTGTAGTTAAGTTACCGCCATCATGCAAATAGGGAGCCTATTACAGACCATAGCAGAAACATTGTTTGTTTTTATTAAATAGGTTCGAGATTTACGACCTGGTGACAAAGTGAGAGTACTAAATGATAGGGATCTTGTAATTAAGTACCAAGAGGGCCATGGCGGCTGGAACAATGGGATGCAAGCGGTAATAAACGTCAATTTTGTACTTGATTGAAGTTATCATCGCAATAGTCACATTCGACATCCTATTCGAGAGTTGTTTTTCTTGTTAAACATTTTTTTTGTATAATTAATACGCTAGTAGTATTAGCTGCATAGTTGGGACCCCGTTTTTTGTGGGATTTGTGGAAAAAATCTGTGTGCTCATGAATATTTGTGGGTTAATATATTCAATATTTTTGTGGGCTATTATATATTCATTTTTGTGGACCTTTCACTTAATCCCCGAACAATAGTCCTTTTGTTCTCTATTGTTTCGCCTAAGCGGTTATCGAGCCCCGAAAATAGGTGGTAGGTGGGTATGCTAATGAAGTCAAAACTGATAGGGGAGGGGTGGTCAAAACGAGTAGGTGGTATAAATTATTTTAGTAGGTGGGTATGTTAATGAAGTCAAAAGTGATAGGGGAGGGGTGGTCAAAACGAGTAGGTGGTATAAATTATTTTAGTAGGTGGGTATGCTAATGAAGTCAAAAGTGNTCCCTGGTGGCGTAATAAAGATATTATCCGTGATCAAAACTTGATCAAACTAAGTATTTGTTCCAGAAACCTCAAACAAAAGCATATTTCCCTTTTCTTTTTCCTTTTTTTCTGTATTTTGACGAAGTTTGAGTGCTCTGATTAGAAATGGCGTGACTTAGCGTGACCATGACAACAAGGCTGCCGGCAGATTCAAAATAAAATGGAGGACCAGCRCCRAACTTTACTTTTACATGCAATAAAACGATCCAGAACACGTAGAGAACTTCTTTCTCGTTCTATATTTGGCATCACTTCATATAGACGTCGTCAACTGATGAGCTTGTGGCTTTCTTTGCTTCTGATCTGTGGAAATAGGGCRAATTTAGCAACTTCCGCCAGATTTCGATCATGTCGTAGATTGAAACGTAATACCGGTTGGTGGGAAGTAGTCCAAAGTTACTCAGCTTCAAGATTCAAGAAAACCTTCAGAGTATCCAAACGAACATTCAATTACATCCTTCAACATATTCGACACAGACTTGTAAGACAAACAACTAGTGAAGACCCGATTAGCCCCGAAGAAAGACTCRCCATTTGTTTATATCGATTAGCGAGGGGAGACTACTATTTCACGATCTCTGAAATGGTTGGAGTTGGCCTGTCTACTGTCAGCACAATTGTTCATGAAGTCTGTCAAGCAATTGTGGAGGAAATGTGGGAACCTGCTGTCTCCAAACACATGCCAAAAACAGAGAATTATGACTTTCGAGAGAAAATGCTAGACACTGAAGAGAGTTGGCAATTCCCATGTTGTTGGGGAGCAATAGATGGCTGCCACATTCCCATGAAATGTCCTTGTGGCGGATTGGAGGCGGCCAAGGAATATCATAACTTTAAGAACTTCTACAGTGTTGTATTGATGGGACTTGTTGATGCCAAGTATCGYTTTATATGGGCTTCCTGTGGCTATCCAGGTAACAATCATGACTCTATCATTTTCCAGTCCACCAACTTATGGCAAAATATTCAATCTGAAGCTSTTATACCTGATATTGCCAAGAATGTGGGTGATGTACCTGTGCCTCCTCTTATTATTGGAGATTCAGCATTTCCATTCTGCACTTGGCTAATGAAACCATATGGGAACTCAGTGCTCAACYGTAAACAAAGTTATTTCAACTACCGCTTGAGTAGAGCTCGTATGGTGACAGAGGGAGCATATGGGCAGCTTAAAGGTAGATGGCGGGTACTTTTAAGAAAATGTGAGAGTAGCCGGGACGAAGTCAGATTGTCAACRTTGGCCTGTGTGGTATTGCATAATGTTTGCATTGAAAAAGGGGACTCTATGTCAAAGAACCTGGATCTCTCAGTGGATCCAGTCACTCAAGAAAGAAGGAATCGCACAGAAATCCGCCAGCTGCTTCAAATGAGGAATTGTGAAAAAATCAAGAACACTTCTGCTGAAGCACAAAAGATCCAAGATGCACTTTGTTCAAAACTGTGGACAGAGAAAGAGACTGGTATTGTATGTTAATTTATATAGCAATTTTCATCAAACTGTGAAACAATAGGCGATTTGCATTATGGCGTCATTTACTACAACTACCAGAATGCTTTGCCCACTTTCTTTTGTAATGCAATTAGTGCCAATTGTTTTACTAATCGCTAAGGGGATTAAAAATCTGAATAACAAAGAAAATGCGCAAGGCTTTCTGGTAGTTGTAGTAAAGTTACGCCATCATGCAAATGGCCTATTACACTATAATAGTGAGTGTAGCTAGTGTCTAATAGTCATACAAAAGAAAATAACAAATGTAGGGTCTACAATTACTGTCTATTACTTAGCTTAGTACTATATTTCACAGTCTGATAAAAACCAATCTCGTACCCAGAGCCCGCGTTACTTTTGGTCTGCAACAAAGAATGTTCTTTGTCGCAGACCAAAAGTAATGCGGGTCTGGGTATGAGATTGATAAAAACCACTCTTAAAACTATGTACAAATAACACATTTTACAACTGGCAACCAATGAGAGAAATAGCTGTTACAGTTCAATTTAGAACATAATTGTGAAGCACTGTTCAACGTGTCAATACTGCTATGTATATGTATGTAAATATTATTGTGTAGTCAGGGGTCACAACACATTTAAGTTGTTTTTGCCTGTTGAGGCTTTACTTTTCTAATTGTAARTTGTTTTCATCAATGGGCTGGCTGCACAAACAAAATAACTGTGATAATTCAGCACCTTTTTGTAATATCTTTGTCAAATGGATAAAGTATATTTTCTTTCAAGTAAAAAAACGCAAATAATTAAAGATATGCAGTTTTTCAATTTACTGTGTGGAATTTTATTGAAACAGATATCCAATGCCTATAATGATATTCCATCAACCTTTGAATTGAGCACTTCAATGCATTGGCAGCATTTATATTGTTGTCTCCCTTCACAATGGATGAGTTTTAGAAGTTCACGTGAATTTTAGTGGGTCATATTATTATGTGCAATAGAAAGCTCAAGGCCACAATAACATACTTCAAGGGAAATACAAATGTACCAGCCCATCCCCCCTACAAATAAATAACTGGTCCCTTAAAGTATACATATTAATTTAATAGTTGTTTTAATATAATTTTTACAGAGAGTGTGCAGGAATACAGATAATTCGTTTTTGTCCATTCAACCAATAAATATATTTAAATGCATACATGATTTTGTCAAAACCATATCTGGAACATACCAAGATACCATGAATTTAACATTAATAATGCCATAAGGATTTCCATTTAGAAACATGGATTTATCAACAGACAAAGTTAAAAAGAAAACWCAACTTAGAAAGCAAGATCAATGGTTATATCCTGATGAAGATGACTGCTGGTCAAACATGGTGGCCTGCTGTGGGTTAGGGGATGTTGATGGGAATGGTATAGTACCATATCCTTGCATGGTAGGCACAAAAGTAGATGCTCCTTGGCTGGTCTGGTGGTACGTTCCTGCATTGTACATATTGGTATTGTGGCTACTTTGGAGGAGCATACTAAAGAGCTGTGCTTCATGCTGTCTTTGCCTCTCCATTTCATCTTTCATCATAGCAATGAGGTCTTTTGTGGGATCATTCGCTATAGCTTCTTTGACCATATTTATCACTTCAAAGTTAGCTTCCTCCAAACTTTTGGCCTTCCTTTTCTTGCCTTGTTTCACRGGKACAAATTGCTTTGTTTCTGGTTGCTCYTCAGGTTCTTGACAGGTTTGAGATGCAGATGGTTCRATAGCCATGTCAGACTGGCAAGAATCCCTGGTCTTTACAATAGSAAAAAGCTGGTCAAACCACTTGCCATACTTCTTTTCATCAGTAAACCTCTTTATACCTGTGGCTGTTTTGATGGTGAGGGCTMCTTTTTTGCACTCTGACACACATTTTTTAAATTTGTTTCGGATTTGAGAAACAGTAAAATTAATTTTTTCTCCTCGCTGCACTGCCCTTTCTTTTAAKTCTCTCAAGATAACTTCATAATAGGCGCTGTTTTTTTGATTTTTCGTGTTAATAAATATCAGCTTTCTCTTATACTCTTCATTGGTAGTTATTRTATGGATCAGGTCATCAACTGTAGCAGATGAAAAGGATGCCTTTCTTCCAGGCTTTTTCTTTGTGAATGTTTTCCATTCCTCTTCCTCTTCTTCATCATCTTCTTCATCTAAATCCTCAATATCAGATCTAGCAAGGCAACATAATATTTTTAACATGCTATGGCTTATTATGTACATAATTTATTGGTTTTCATTAAAAAAAATATATACTGATTGTTTTGACATTAAAGGAATTTGAAAATTTCATCTTAAAGTCATTGATTTAGGTGCAATMTAAAATCTTTAGTCCTTTACGCACATAAAACCTGCAGTTTATTGAGAATACTAGTTTCGTCTTTCGATTGTATCAATTATAAAATTTTTAATTTACACCTAAATCAATGACTTTAAGATGAAACATAATTAATTACAAATAGAAACCCCAAGCTAAACTAATTGACAATAGAAAGCAAATTAAATCACAAATAAACCCAAGAAGAAAAATATTTTCTAAAATATTTATAATTTTGACTTCAAAAGACWTTTCATAATATTGGTAAAAAAATGAAGTTTGAATACATTTAACCTTATTAAAATCTTTAACGTATGCCAAAACGACACTGAATTGTGYAATAGTGATAAATAGTTTACTAATACAACCGTTGCARAAAAAATTACTCTTGAAAAATAATCTGCAAATTCATAACTTTACTTACTCATCATTGTTACCACTGTTAAAGCAGGGTTTACAGTATCCCACAGCTTTACCCATTTTCCATCCTGGTTTATCTTCATTAATTTCCATTGTTGAACATTTGCAGCAGAGTGGCATAGCACATGTTATACATTCATATTTTGTAAGGTCAAAACATGAYGAGCACATTTCATCCGCCATGTTGACCGGACAAAACGAAACATAAAAATCCTCTCCGATGTCAACGAAGAAAATGGCGGGAAAACATGCAGATATTTTTGACGCGGCCGTGATCTGACCTTCACCTTGAGTTTTCAAAATAAAACTACTTACATTAAATTCTAACTGAATTAAAAAACACACAGACAAATGAAATCAAATCTAAAATGTATTTAGTTCAAAAGACATTAAAAAAAGCGATACACTTACTAAAGGTCCATTTGAAGATTTACAAGTACAAAATATAGTCTGTTCTCGATCTTCAATTCGAAGTTTCGAAGTTTTCGAGTAGTAGAATCGACCACTTGTTGTCATGAAATCTATAATAAATTTGTGAAACTATTTATCACCACATGGATCTGAACTCTTCGTGAATTACTCTTGGAAATATCCATCATCAATGCTCTATTTTTCCTTGATTTTTAAAGCAATTTTCGAAGAACGTTTTCAGTACTATGTCGGTCGCCATCTTGATTTTTCTTCTATACATATTGCGCATACTCACTAGGAAAACCGCTGATATTTGCACCAAAATAAATTTATGCATTAGGTTCGGCACATAAGTAGCTCGACGCTTGAAACGGTGTCGAACTTTTGCCGTGCGGAGCGACTGACACGGTCGAGCTCAACTTTGAGTCGCACCTAATTCTGTCGTGCCGAACTTAATTGTTTTAGGTGCCGCGCTGTTCATGTGCTTAATTCAAACTATTTGGTTCGGCGCGACGCTGGCACGGCGTTTGAAACGGGCCTAAACAATGGAGCCAATGTTTATCACAAAGATGCGCACATGTTCTTGTAGTTGTAGTAAAGTTACCGCCATCATGCAAAGGTCCTATTAGTCAACTGACAGAAGCCTTCTTTACTTTATAGTCCTTATTCTGATGTTGGGCTTCCTGTGCTTTCTACTTACATAGGGGGCCTATTACAGACTATAGCAGAAACATTGTTTGTTTTTATTAAATAGGTTCGAGATTTACGACCTGGTGACAAAGTGAGAGTACTAAATGATAGGGATCTGGTAATTAAGTACCAAGAGGGCCATGGCGGATGGAACAATGGGATGCAAGCGGTAATAAACGTCAATTTTGTACTTGATTGACGTTACCATAGCAATAGTCACATTCGACATTCTATTCGACAGCTATTTCTTGTTAAATATTTTTTTTGATAGTTAATACGCTTTTGGTCCTCAATCTTTTCTGCGACATACAGTACAGTGCCATCGTGACCATTATTTGGAAGAAATTTGTCAACTATCGAACATTAGTATTCACTAGTATGACAAATCTACCATTCTGATTGGCTACTGAACTATGACTYATTTATATTAGACCATGGTCGCATCGAATGAAACGAAAATAGTAGGGAAAAAATGTCGAAAAAAATATTTTGTACACAGTCTTTTCTTTCAATTTGCTCGAGCACTGGGTCGTGGATCATCAATTCAAAGTCCACTCGACCTATAGTGGTCTAATTGTTAATTATTAAATGGTTTTCCCAATAGGCTCTTGGTCAGCAAGGCAAAGTAATTGATGTCGATAAAGACGGTGACGCAATCGTYAACGTAACCAATCAGCGATGGTTATTTAATGCGGCGGCTCTTGTACTTGAGTCCAAGGAGGAGGAACGGCAGCCTCCTGGGGTGAGAACAGGAACGGCGAATTCAGTAGTTGAAGGTTCGTATCGTG